TTAAAAAAAAGGATAACTAAATATTGCTGCAAATCTTCAAATTTTCAGTATCACATGGATGGCGATACACACGGCCTTGTTTATAATGGCAACGTCATAAAGCCTGCAGAGGCAGTAAGTGCGCCGGAGGTTACCTTCGATGGAACGATTGATCCAATAACAGGAAAGGCAAGTTAAATTTCAAATTTTTTCTCAACAAAAAGTGGTTTAATGGAAAACTTTTTCTTATCTAATCTATAATAACAACTTGCAGAAATCTGAAGGTGATTTTTTCTGGACGCTTGTTGCCTCTAACCCAGATGCACACTTTTCCGACAGTTCATCTGAATATGTACACTGGTTTATGTAAGGTTTTCAGGTGTTTGTTGCGAAATTGATTTAAAAAACTTATTTATCTTTAATTTTTTAGATCGAATATTCCAAATGGTGACGTTAAGAAGGGTGAAGTGCTCGTAGACTACTTACCACCTTTTCCACCAAAGGGCGTGGGCTATCAACGTATGATCTTTGTGCTGTACAAACAAAACGGCAAATTAGATTTCAGCAAATACAAGCTGCCTACGAGCGACAAGTATAATTTGGAGAAGCGTACATTTAAAACACTTGATTTCTATCGCGAACAGCAGGATAATATTACACCAGCTGGATTGGCATTTTTCCAAAGCGATTGGGATAGCTCACTTACAAAGTTCTACCACAATGCTTTGAGTAAGAATATCTCGCCCAAAATTACGCGTATATTAGTTTTTATCAAAAGTTTTCGATTTTTCTTAGATATGAAGGAGCCGATATTCGAATATGATTTCCCCAAGCCATACCTGGCTGATCAGAAATTCTTCCCTCTTAAGCAGGCGTTTAATTTGTATCTGGATCGCCACCGAGACCCTAAGGAAGTTAACAAGGAATACCTAGAACGCAAATTAGCGAAAACGCATCCTTTTGAAGGTCCCGAAAAACCGTTGCGTTTTCCAAATGCACATCCAATACGTGGTGTGCCTTCATGGTTAAAGACAGAAATACGCAAACGTCGACTGGGCATCGGTCGCATTAATGATTACAAATAAGCGATGTAATTCTAAATTTGGCGGTGTGTTTTACAGTTTAGAAAAAATATAGTAAACGTTAATAAATAGATGTGTGTTTTATATTAAAATGCAGGAAACTTTAACGCAAGTCCCGGAAAATTAAAAAAAAATTCGTTCAAATAATCGAGGGATCACTGTAGTAGGGATCGCGGCTCAAAATTTAGCCGAAAACACCAGGCGCGCAGAAATGTGCAGCAAGAAATCCCGCACCATTCACAATTGATATCTGATCATTATTAGGCTGTGTTCACACGTGTTCATATGAGTCACGGTACACAATTTGTACCTAAATCTGCAATTGAAGTCAAAATGCATATTTTGTAGCGCTTTAAAGCGAAAATGATGAAAAAATCATATAATTTTGACTACCGCACCATGCGGAAGCGGTCGTTTCATCTGTTCGCTATATAACTACAAATTCATAGACATTATCATGCATAGTCACTATTAAAAGTTTATTATCAGGTTATTATTACATGTTATACATAAATAAATATTAACGTAAATTGGATTTAATCAAATTTTGGTTTTCTAATAGATAAAATCTATGTGGTTAAGTGGCCACATCACCACATACGTTACAACCGTTTACATAGCACATTCTCGTTATATTTTCGTTTTTTTATATATTTATAAACTCCTAAGGATTGCATTAAAATACTAACAAAAAATTCTTACAAATAGAAAACTTTAATAGATATTTTTAATAAAAGCGCCTTTGCATAACAAGAATGCTTCAGATTATACAGGTGGTGTCAGGTATAAAAATAAAAACTCCATTTTCGATACTCGTATTTTTTGTTTGCTTTTATTTAAAATTAGTTTAAACTAATGTTAAACATTTTAATACTATCAACATTTCACTTCCCAATATTTGGCATATATTTTTTTTTTTATTGGTTTAAGGGGCTCCTTTCGGAAAAAGGAAGTGGAGTTTATATTTTCATACCCACACAAGTATAGAAACTTAAGAATTTGCATTAAAGATATCAAACAATTACATATTATTTTGTCAGTAACAAATATTTGGCACAATTGTTAATTGTATTAAATTGTCGTTCGTTAAAATGGTAATGCATCAATCACATATATTTCCAATACAAGTGAAAATTGTACAAACAAAATTTATTCATAGCTTAAAAGAGATGACACGCTTGGCGGTTCGACCGAAGCGAATTTAAAGCGACTTGAAAGCTTTATTTTTGCAATATTACCCTGCGAAAACCTTTGAAATCAGTGGTTTCATAAAAAAACAGAATTAAATACGGATTCACTGAGTTTTTTTTTTTTTTATTTTTGCGCGGTTCAAACCAGAGAAAAGAGTTAGAAAACTATTTTCCAGATTTTTGATCAGCGATGTCATAAACATAATGACGGTTAGTTCATTTCTTAAGATGGAAATTTGTCTGCAGAAATATTAATTTCGCGACACCCTTAATTTTCAAACAGCATCTTGTTTTTTAACTCAGCTTTCTTATAACCGATTATAGTTCATCTTCAAAGGTACACATTATCAAGGGGCTGTCTTTATAGTATGTAATTAGAATTAAAACAAAAAAAATGTTAAAAGCAAAGAAATACGCAAGGTCATACAAGTTCATAAACATTAACAAGAAATTATAAGTACTAAGCTCAAATATTAAAGTCCGCCATTTGTTCGATTATTGGGTAATTATGCATTATACTAACAAAGTGGAGTTGATTTCATGAAAATCAGTCATTGCACTGAGCCTCTTATAAGTAGAAACAAGAACTAAAACCGAGGCTTGAAAACTTTCCCGCCAGCAGCAAATTAAAGTTGTTAGCGAAGTTATATAAAAAAAAGAAATAAAACTTCTTTCGTGGAATTAAAAAAAATTTATAGATATGCTTGCACGACGACGCTCATGTGAATTGCTTAAAATTACGATGCAAAATTATACAACATCGTGCTTTTAATTTTTGCTCTAAATTAAGATTGTGCAAAATTGAGGTTATATTCTTATTTAAATATGCTTTTCTACTGGGTTAAATTCATTTAACAATTTGAATTATCAAGTTGAGAATTCGTTTTTCTTTTGGTATTATCAGGCAGGTTCTGCCATTCTCTTCCGAGTGAATTTCAACCATAATCACTTTGAATTGAAATTGAATGGGGTTGAAATTCACTCGGAAGTGAATTGCATAACCTGCCTGTTTATGTTTTTTTACTCAACTCTACTAATTTCACCTAGTTTATGAGGTTAATGTAGGTTCGTTCTTAAAAACTAAATTCGAATCCGGATTACCTATACTTTATACTGCCTTTTCAATGGCTTAAGTCTTGCCGCTTTCCTTTTTGCTTTATTTCAAATTTTAGTCGATTTTAAGTCTCCGCCTTGCCGTAGGAACCTGCTGCTGGCCGGTACATAGCCGGCAATGAGAGCACCTGTGGCAGATTAAATGCGTACTTTCGCTTACCGATATTCTTGAAGACATTGTCCATGCGTGTGCCCTCGCTAAGAACAAAACATAGATTATATATTCATAAAAAAAACATAAAATATTAAAACAGCAAAGTCCAATGGTCATACCTTCTCATCGTGCTCAGTACGTATGGCACACTTTTGGCAGGTAAATGGAATTCTTGAACCAATACTCGACACTGTTCCAATGTCACCGACATACCCGTACGGTCTTTGGCACTTTTGCATGAGGTAAAACGCAAGCCTGACATCAGACGGCAAGCATCTTCAGCCAAGTGTAAAATTTTCACATTTTTCGATACATTCGAACGCAGCTGCTCCTCCATAAAACCCAGTATGTTGGCAAGCGCTTGTGGTGCTGGCGGATGAGGTTCATGCTTGCTGGGCGTCTCTGGCTTAACCAGCTGCAACTTACGATATCGACTATAATACTGTTTCAGACGAACAAAGTTATCCCAATTGGAACGATGTTGTTCGCGTGTTTGACCTAGAGTCTCAGCCAGCGTAGCCTTTTCGTTAATTCCGATATTGAAGAACACCGGTGTTAGTTTGAATGTAAACGTCTCTTGAGTTGGCACGATAACATACACATGTTCCGGCACTGGCAGCAGCACATTCAATGCCTGTCGCGAACCTGTAACCCGTGGCAGGGGGGCCAGCGTGTGAGCATCGCTGCTGTACGTGGAAAGGTGGAGACGAGATGATTGAGTTTTAGTAAAATTTGAGATAGTACATAATTCTATGATATTCTTTTACTTTTGTGCGCTACTACGTATAAGCGTGAAATTCACTGCAGAAAGATCCTCGATGGCGACACACATATCACCCCACATATCCGTCTCATTGCCATATAGTGATAGCAGACCTTCAAAGTACGCCAGTGGTCCTAAATCCCTGAGTATCTTTATGAAGTTTTCCGTTATTTCAGTGCTCCATAATTTGGCCATCAGTGCACTGATGAGGGCAGTCAACTTTGAATAGCAACATTTGTTCATAAAAGTTAAAAATATTTTTAAGATTATGTATTAGCTTGCTGCAAATTGCTTACCGCTTGTGAAAAGCACACATCTCTGCGATACATAATTTCCAAATTTATGCTGTTGCGTTTCATATCTTGCTGCAGACGCTGCACAGAATGCATTAGCCGCGCCGTCTTCAATAGGCCATCCATAGCGTGACGTAGTTTGCGCATTGAAGGGCGCAACTCGGAAGCCCAATCAGTGGTAAGCGATAAGTCGAGGCCTAAAATAGAGTTTATAAAATAAAAAAAAAGATAATTTTCATCACATTCATCGACATCATTATTGATATCAAGATTGGTTTATTCATCCCCTTAGAGTATGTCACTAGCAATCTGTTTTTGTCTTTGCCCCGACCGATTCGAGGACTTTGTTACGGCTCTGTTTTTTATTGACTATTGCAGTTGTGTGCTGTCAAAGGCAACCACTACAATTTTCGGCTAATCTACGGCCGGAACTGTATTGCCATCGACCCGTATGCCCTCAGTGTAGCTTGACTTCTCTTATTCAGGTTGTAATAGTGGGGTTTCGTACGGAAAAGCGTTCGGTTTTGTACAGTGAAGAAGCTAGAAAGGTTTGAGGGATAAAGATTCACTAAGAACCGGGGAGTTTCGTTGTATAGAAATTAAATATTGTACTACTACAACACGTGTTGGAAGGCTGGACCAACACTCACATCAGACGTAATGACTCCCATAAGCAGCTAGCTCTCTTTTTAGGTGGCAACATTTTTAAAAACTTTTCGTTCGAATTTAATAGTCACTTTATGATTTTTACTTGTTTATCATAATAGTTGCTATTATTACATCCAGTTGGTTTTCAGCAAAAATTTAACATTCATTTCAATAGTATTATTGAGTTTAAGCAGGTATTTCGGAGATCACCACATCTCATCAGACTTCTTTCTCTAACTTCAGCAGGAATCGAACTCGCATCATCGATTAATTGACTAGTTGGTTCCAATGAACTTAAAAACTGGAAACCCCAAAAGTATTTTTCAAAGAATTTTCAACAGCTAAGTAAAATTTTTGAGGTTTTCAATACCTCTAAAATTTTTTAGGAATAAGGGAAAATTATTAAAATAAATATGTTCCCATGACCGGCGGAACATCCTAAATTTATAACTGCAGCATTCCACAAAACTCTTTGGGAATTTGTATGCGGTTACAACAACAACCATAAAAAAGAAAAATAATTACAATACATTCACTTACCGTCGGTGAATTTGTTTCCTTTTTTCTGAGCCACGATGGTTTCCTTATCCGTCGTCGATTGTTGTGTTTGTGCTTCAACATCCTGCGTTAAGTCCAAAATCAGTCCATTACCATTTGCATTTGTCTGTTTACCTTCTGCGGCCCGATCAGTTTCTTCCATGTCAGCAACTTTAATTTGATTAACCACTAGATCTGGCGGAGCAGGCGAGTGCGTGAAGCCAGCGCGTTTCATATTAGTTTTTGGTTGCCTCAGACGTATTGCTGGGCTACCACAACGACCACAGAGAAATTTGATTTTGCTAACCAGGCACATTACGCTCGCTTCGATGTTTAATTGTGTCAAATCGAGCGGTTCAGGCTCCTCAGTGGGCCGATAGTAATTAGCCGAAGGGGAAGAGCTCATAATTTTTGTGTCCAGAAAACTTCCATGGTTCAGTGTGGTCGCATTGTAGTCTATATCCAATTCGGGATCAATGTACGTATAGTAATGACAGTTATTATCATTTGGAGTGAATGTTTGTGTCATGGCCGTATTACTGATGTTAGTTGACTGTTCAACATCAAAATCATCTAGATCAATTAACTGAAGTGTTGAACTGGCACTTCGATTGTTGGCTTTCAAGTCATCTGCACCACAATAATGTCCTTCGTTAAACGCGATGTCAGTTGCAGTGTCATGCAGATGCACGGGCAGGGATTGAAATGTAGCTTCAGCTTCCGAATCATTCTCTGCTGTAGTTCCAGTATTTATAACCACCGTACGATTGCGCAGTTGTTCGTTGTATGTTTTTACAGTGCGATGAAGAGCGTGTAGGGCATTTATATCCATTGTCGAGGGTGAGGGACGCAGGCAGAGGCTATTTGAACGCACCAGTGGGCGGCCAACGCCCGTAGGCGTCTTTGTGCGAGGCCAGAGATCAGGTGGTGCAACAATGGGTGTGGCAAAATCTTCCAGTTCTGGTGATTTTAAATCCAAAGCGCACAGTTGTTGTGTGATTTTACGAAATGGTGACATTGGCTGTGAAATTGAAACATTTTACTACTATTTTAAATCAAAACCGAACACGATTTACCATTAACACATTATCTGGCTCCTCAATAATGCGATGTTGTTCCACAAATGCGAACGCTTCTTCCACCAGATTTGGCTCCCAAATATTTAACAGCGTTTTGGTTTTTGTAATCATTTCATTACATAAAGGCATCATGCCTTTCGGGTTTTTACTTTTCGCAAGGGAAAGTAGCTGTGACATTATTTCAACAATCTCTTTGCGCAGCTGCTTGATAGCCTGTACAGCGTCGTTGGCGGCCTGCACTTTACATGCATTGCCCTGTTCGAATTTTGTTGGTGAATCTTTGGTTTCCTGCAGAAGTCTGTTAGAAAAGTTAAATAAATTGCTGCAATTTCTTACTATCATCTGAATATTTTAAATTTATTTACTTTATAAGCCCTCCAGTGCGTCCTTTGCTTGCATGGCGTGTAAATGCGCCAACCGTTATAATATCCAACACACCCGAACGATTCAGCGTGTCATTTTGTGCCCACATTCGTTGCAAATGCAAATTGACTGGCACAAATTCCA